ATTAAGTTGGACATATCCTTCAGCTAGCAAAAGTAATTGAGAATAAAACTTCATTATGGCTTTTAAATGCGAATTAATCAATAGTATTGGCTATATATAGATTAAGGGAGTTCATTCCAGCCTGCTCTTAAAGTCAATGTTAAATAAATGTAACAATATGCAAGATTATACTATTTGGTTAGACAATTATTATTACATGTGAACTTCACATCTCAAGCCAATTTGGCTTTAAATTCTGCGCGGAACTAAACTGCATTCCCATATCTATCTACGACTATATTACACAACTCTGAAATGGGAATTATGAATATCTGTGTGTGTACGTAATCTATACTGACACTAAGCTATTATAAGAGTGAAGGAATAAGTCAATTGATCACCTGAACTTGTTTATGTGTATCCGGGCAAATCTCATATAATATAAAGTCGATGACTTCATTGACAGATCGAAACGATCTCCTTCCTCTTGGGTATCGATAAAACTGCATCAAATATTACATTTTAATCAATTCTCTACTTTGTTCAACGCACGCTGTGTTTAATGTCTTCATATGGATCGATGCATTCGAAACAAGAATGAAATGTTTCAAGATACAAATTCTACGTAGTCACACAAGTAGGTATATAGTCTTAATTAGATATCATGTCTCGGTTTTCCGCCCCACAAAAGAAACACAATAATAGAGTATTGCATCCAAAGTCATATGTTTCGTTGTAACTATGTAAGTTCTTGGGAATGATCAAAATATCAGCCATATGTATTACCATGTCGAGTCTCCCATGTGGGCGCATTCTGCACTGGATGTTCCAATTTTGCAACCTTTCTCTGAAAGAAAACTGAAGCGGTTTCATTGAATTCACCACCCCATCTCGCTCCTGCGGTTTTGAAAATGCGTTAGTCTCTTGTGTGTGTTGTGGTACACATCCACCCACAACGTTTTTACATCAAATGTAGCCTGTACAATATATACAGAAATGCATAAACTTCACACACACATGTACGCAGATGTCCAATTCCAATACAGTCATGATTTTTCTATCCTCATTTTGATTGCCAAATGGGCAGTACACTTGGACAACTTAATCCTATCTTCATTGGCAATTGGTATATGTCCCTGATCCATTCGCCCATTAATTATATACAAATAATAACATGAAAACCAAGAACAAGAAATATTGAACAGCACTTTATATGTTATTACAGGATTATCGTACCAAGAAATCACGATAACATGAAGCAGCAAGGTCCATATCTACGTTGTTTTCTGTGAACAGTTGAGGACACTCAAAGCTGACGGCTATGTCCCCAATCACAACACTCGTTACCATTTGACTCTTATCAAACGCAGGTGATTCCTCCTGACAATTTGAATTTAGGGTCAAGACGTAGTCAAGAATGAGCAGACAATACAATTCAGACAGACGGTTGTAATGAACTTACTGTTGTGTCAGTGGGGGAAGGATCGCCCACCAAAGCCATATCATTCTCTAAACTTAATCCTTGCTGCTGCAGTAGCGCGTATTTTTTTATTTGATCAACCTTTGCCTATATCACAAATCGCGACACAAAAAAGTGCATCAAAATATTTTCATGTTTTTTGAAAAGAATGCAAAGCACAGTCATGTTTTGCAAAAGCTTACATTCTAGTAATTAAGATAAAAACAGAAGAATTACGGAGATGATAGATGAGTAGAACTACTAAAAATTACAAAAAGATATGGTCAAGGTTAGGGCAACTTTGGAGTTTCACATCCCAACCCTTTAGCAACCACACTAAGTCCATCCAGGGCTACAATGAAATCATCAGATTAGCATTACAGCCTCCAAGACGAGTCAGTAATGAAATTTATTAACTTTCTACCAGAATCTATCATCCGTTCTTGTTCATTTCAATGATTATTTCATTGAGGTCAGGGAAATTACTGCCCTACTAAAAAAAGATTTTTTTAAATAATAGAAGAAAAATAGGAGGGGCCTAGAACCACAAATTACATTCCTTTATTCGACACGATCAAGTTCTTGTAGCCAAGAAAGGGACCGGTCGATAAAACAAACAAAACATTCCTCTATTCAAATCGATCAAATTATTGCAACCAAGAAAGAGGTTAGTCAATAAAACAGATAAAATAACAAAAAAATCATGATCAAATCGATTGTAAGTCATCAATTTGGGCAATCATTTCACTACTAACAAAGAAATCAGATTGAAAGGTGGGGTTCACTTACATTCACTGTTAGAGTAAGAGTATCAATTAGTTTACTATGGAGTTCAAAATGTTCATAATCTGTGGGTTTCACTGTCTCCCACCTAGTAACTTCCTGATTTTTCTTAGAATTTTGAGATCCAGCTCCCTCCATTGATCGATTTGACATTGCTTTATGCAAATGATCCGCCAGAGCAAGATGAATTGAAGACTAAAGCGAGACCTGTTTGGTTGCTAGAATCTAGATCCAGAGAAACAAGATAGACTCTCAAATATGCCTTGGGTAATAAAGGAGTGAGAAAGAAAATTATACATACCCATAAAATAGTGAGAGAGTGCGGGAGAGAGTAAAAATTTTTTTTTTAATATATACTGCCATAAAACATGTTTACTTTGTGTTTTTGTTTTTCTAAATATGTTTTCATTATTTTCTTATTTGTTTCCCGACAAATTAAATAGGGCAATATAGCTTTCATTAATACTACGTGTTACATCTATGAAGAAAAAGAATAAAACTAGGGGATAAATATCTTAATTATCATTTGTTTCGATAAATTATGTTGCTCTTTTAGGGCAAATTGCCATGTATTTTCTCATAATAATAAGCCTTTTATCACCACCACCATCACCATTATTGTTATTTAATCTCATGTTTGAATCTTCATTTTTTTTTGGGGCCAATTTTAGTATGGCTGCTTTTGCATTAGAATTTGCAGAGTATTTATAAATAAAAAGTGACTATATATATTTTTGCTATGTTGGGGTGATGTGAATGAAATTCAGATGAATTAATTTTAGAGGAAGTAGCAAGCAACAAGCATATTGTCTGGCAAAGGAATTCAGTTTATAATTTTATGTTAAGATTAATATAATCTTTGATCTCTCTAATTTATCTTTATTTTGATTTTGGTGGTTTCTCAAGTTTTAAACTATAGATTTTAGTTATTCAAAAGACAAAATAGTCCAGATTTTTATTAAATTATATGGACTAATGTTTTAAATGAACATAAACTTGAAAAACCAAAGTTTATAATTTAAAATTTGAAGGATTAGAACTAAGATAAGAACAAATTTGAGAGATTAAAAATTATATACAAACCTGAACCTCTAGATTGCTGCTACGTACCTCCTTCCAATCAATGGACGCGATTCCCTCTAATTAAATGCAATCAATGGAGGCAATTCTCTCCAATTAAACGCAATTAATGCTACATGTTGAAAGGCTTATTCACTAAATGCTCATACATTCCATTAAAAAAAATAAATGCTCATATATTCATGTATTTATCTATTAGAAAAAGAAGGCCGTAAAAGAAAATGAAAATGTGATTCTATATATTTGGATCAACATGAATCCACACTCTCTCTTATTCCTGTTATAAATCATTTCTAATTAATTCATTCATACCAATAAAGACAGTCAAAAGCATTAAATTTATTATAAAATTTAAGTGATTTTAGTATTATCCTTAATAACTATACTAAATTCTAACATCATGTTAATTTTTATTCTCTAACTATTCTTATTAAGTATGGGCATAGATGACAAAAAAAATTCAATGCTACTTTTTGGCCCTGAATGTTTAATGCTCCTTGAAACTAAGCAAATGTCTTATAAAAAGGATCAAGAATACTTATTAGTTGATGCCTTATAGTTATAATAAGGATAAGGACTAGACACTAGAGGGAGTATTTTACAAGTATATTAAATTATTGTTTCGTTTATTTCCTTCTTTGTTTTTTTTTTTGACACACTTTATTTCCTTCTACACGCACCATCGAATAAATAAAATTAAATTCAGATCGATTAAAAAAATAGGAGAGATTAATCTAAATTTTAAATGCAGGAGTACATTTTGAAAAACAAAGGAAGGAAAATTACAGAGACAGTGGGATCCCCTCCCAAGTTCCCCTGTTATGAGTATTCATATACTCTATACTTTTACGTTACATAAAATTTTAAAAATAGAATATGCAATTGATGAATTTAAATCACATATTTTTGTGATGAATTATACATATATATTGATATTATTATCAATTATAGTGATATTAATGGCGAAGAGACCAAATTCCTTAGTCATCGCCAAGGTTTTTAATAAAATTAATATTGCCATATATCACCATAATAACCACCAAAATAGAGAAGAGACCACTATTTTTTTTTGGGATATAAAGTACAAATTTTTTTCTTTTGCCATTACTCTCTCTTTTTAAAAGATGGGTTAGGCCGGATAAGACAAGTAAGCCCATTTAAATTCTAAAAGTGCTAGCCTGCCAGACCCTAGATGAAGAAAAGCTCATAAACCAAAACAAAAACAAAAACAAAAACAAAATCATATTTTTTTCGTTTTCACGTATTGGAAAATTTCAAAAAAAAAAATTTAAGTTATCTATTTTGAAACATTATTACTCCTAGTATTACATCAAATCATCAAAATCTAATCATAATTTTTTTAAGAAATTAAATATTGATTTCATATATTATATAAATAAAATTTAAGAAATAACTTGCATTGTTCGTTGTGTATAAATTGTATAAACCTACATTTCATATTGAATATAAAAAATTTACGATCATTTTTTAAAATTTCAATATAATTATTTTTTCCCAGAAGATAATTATTCATTTTAAAGCCCACGGAGTATTTATTTATTTGGACAATGGAGTTTATTGATATAACGAGGGTAGAACTAATGTGCGACAGATATGGATGTTAAGTAACAACTGCATCAGCTTCTGATGCACGAACGAGTTTATTAATATTTATTTCCCCTGCCTATCTAGTTTCTCTGAGAAATGGGCTTCTTTTATCGTTGAGTTTTCCTTCTTGCAAGTGAATTCACTGGGGAAAAGTCAACGACGTCCTCTGGTTTTGAAGCCAACCAAGCGGCGGCCCGGCCGCTTGCCTGTTGGTTCCACGCTCGTTCCTCTTTTTCCCCCTCCTTCGCTGAGCGCGAATCGTGGTTCTTGGCTTCTTTCATGGCTAATCCTCATCTTCGCGCTCTACTACGGTGGCGCAAGTGGGCCAAGAAGGACTGGGCAATAGCCGCTGTTGGCTTCACTCTCACTGTCGTCTTTGCACTTTCTCTCATCTCAGATTCCCGGCGAAGGGTGAATGGTTCCGTAACCAACCCCTCGTTCGGTCTAAGCCAAAATGATGATCTCGTCGATCTGACCCTTCTTCGAAATGCTAAAGATAGAGGCGCTTGTATGTGAACTCAATCTCACTTCATCTCTAAATAATCAAAAACAACGCTCAAGAGTAAAGTCTATTACTTTATTGTATAATTTGAGCCTGTTTGCGTAGTTTGCTTGGATGGGAGCTTGCCGGGATACCATTTCCAAAAGGGGTTTGGATCCGGCTCTAACAATTGGCTACTTCACATTGAGGTTCTTTTGCTTACGTAAAGCTTTATGAAAAGCTCAAAGAAAATGAAAAGGAAAAAAAGATCACTTGAACTGCTTTATTACAACTCTGTGTTTGGATGTAGGGAGGAGGTTGGTGTAATACGATGTCTTCGTGTTCTCAGCGAAAAATGACTGCTTTGGGATCCTCAAAATATATGGATAGACAAATTCGTTTCTCGGGAATCTTAAGCTCTGACCCTGCGCAGAATCCTGGTGTAGCCTCTGCATCTTATGTAGCTACCTTATTGGCCATTGCTAACGTACCATATTGGTTTGGTTTCTTTTAGTTACAAACTGCAACTTCTATACCCGGCCGTGTAATGCTGCTAACTCTGAGATAAATCCCTTTAACACTATGATTTGGAACTTTAATCTTGTTGGTACCAAATATCCTGTGATTAAATCACTGCTCCAAATCAAACTTCATAAATCATCATAAACATTTTACAAAATGTACATATTTAGCTGTGCTGCAGTGGAAGTAGTTTTAGTTGGTTGGACGTGAATATTCAGTGAACGGTGTTACTTAGCTTGGTTTCAAACTTACTCAGATTTCTTTAGCTGGAACAAGGTTAAGATACGTTATTGTGATGGTGCGTCCCTCGCTGGTCATCCAGAAAACGAGATTAAGGTTGGTCTCGCTTCCACTTGTGCAGCATTGACTTACCGAGAGTTTCTTAATTATTTGCAACGGGTTTTCCATAGCTCCATGACTTGTGTGTCTATATAAGAAGTTCCTCTTGACATTTCTTTCTTGTTTTTGTTCTGTTACTTCAGAAAGGAAATAAATTATTCTTCAGAGGTCAGCTCATATGGGAAGCACTTATCGATGAACTCTTGTCAATTGGCCTGTCTGAAGCCAAAGAGGTTATTCTTCCACGCCTTTCTAACATATATCTCTCATTCCTTACTCTCTAAAGTTTGGTGGAATTTTGACCAACTAAAGTATTGTACACTTGTAAAAAGATATCCGGCTCTCTGTTTAAATTTTATCACATCCGCAGGTTATATTAATAGAATATCTGAACTAAGATGGGTACTTCTTTTAATGCTCATCAAAATCCTGACGAGCTGATATAAATATAAAGTCATTTTGTCCTTAATCCTTGTGCCATTGTAGATTATGAACCCAGTAAAGCTATCATTGTTTTCAATTGCTTTTATTTTTGTAGGAAATTCTTTGTTGATTGACTTGGCGAGTGGCATTACAAACATGATTCTTGAGTATTGATGTAACTAGTCCAGTGGGTTAATTATGCCATTAATTTTTTCCTTCTTACAATTGACTAGTTGATTTGCCAAGAATGGCATTATACATAGATTGTAAATGAAAGCCGAATCAATATAACCTAGAGTGAAAGAAATTGTGGGATTATTTAGATTTTATTGACTAGCTGTAAGTGAAGCAAATCCTTAGTGGACGTAAGTGATAGATGGAAGGTAGTACGCAGAATATGCTTTCTTTTCATGCAATTTATGTTTATCTAATTATATTTTTGTTTCCTTATACTGGTGAACTTAGATCTGCAAATGTGATGATAGGCGGGTTACTCATGCAGGCTCTGCTTTCAGGATGCTCTGCTGGAGGATTGGCAACTCTAATACATTGTGATGCCTTTCGAGGACTTCTTCCAAAGGAAGCAACTGTAAAGTGTCTTGCTGATGCGAGCTTCTTCCTTGATGAGTATGTTTTCATTTACATATCGTTGTCTTTTCCTGCCATAACCTTTTCTGATTGTTATTGAACTTAAGTTTCCCAAAATACTTTCATTGTTACACAGTGCATTCCAAGGTTGACAATTCTTTAGGATTGAGTCTGTAACTAGAAGATTTCAATTGCATTGAGCTATATTTGAAGCCCTTTTTGAACAGATTCACTACTATGCATCTACTTGTTGTATGTTTCACCGACAAGCAAAATAAAAATTGATCCTTTTTTATGCCTTAAATTTCAGGAAGGATATTCTTGGCAATAACACCATGAGATCCTTCTATCATGATGTTTTCCAGCTTCAGGTAATGCATACCTTGTCTATTAAATGAAAAGGCATAGACACTTAGATGGATGTTGCGGGCTTGCCATGGAACTAAGTAAAAAAATCTGGATATTATTTGAAGTGCTTTGCCATATGGCATCAGCTTCTAATGTGTCAAAAGCGGACATGGGACTATTTTTTCTTAACTTTATTTATTGAGTAATCTTTTTTTTTTTTTCTGGTTTCAATTTAAAGCCCAAAAAAAGATATTTCCCCAACTAATGTCTCTTCATGTTACCTGTCCTCTCAGAGTTTTATGAGGAGCTTGCACAGAGACTG